AAATTTTGTTTTTTAAGATAATATATTTTTTAATGTTAAATTAATGTAAAAAATAAAAATATTATAATCACTTAATGTTATTATAGGCAAGGTTTTTAAAATCGGACCGGATCGACCGGTTGAACCGGTCAAATCGGTATCCGATGATGAAAACGATTCGGTTTACATAAGAAAATCGCTTGAGGTCAAAATCGGTCAAAACCGGTCAAAACCAGTCAAAACCGGTAAAAACCAATGAAAATCAATAAAAACCGGTGAAATCGGTGGAATCGAAAAAACCACCGGTTCAATTTCTCATGCAATCTTCTTTCAATTTTTTCCAATTTCACTCTTCTCATTCCTTTCTTATACCCATTTTAACCTTTAATTTTAACAAAATTACAAAATTATCAACACCAAATTAGAAAATCCATGCCTGCAACTTGCCCTTCTCATCAAATCTTCCTTGTTGTTTGGACCGGCCAGTTCATTGGTTCAACCGATTGAACCGATCAAACCGAGAACCAGACCTGAAAACGATTCAATAACCGATCTGGTTTTAAAAACCTTGATTATAGGTAAAAAAGCAAAATTGAAACTTATTAGATAAATATTAATTAAAAACTATGACCAAAAATTAAAAAATTAAAATGGATAAATTTGTCAATAAAATTAAAAATTTTCAATCTATTAGCTGTTTAGTACAAAAAACTACTTAAACTAGCTTTTTTAATTCGCTAACAGTTTGATCTCTAACCACTATCCGTTAATCCAAAATTGCTAAATAAAAATTTTATCAAGTATTTTATTTGTAATAATTTTAAAATATATAAATTTACCAAACGCCTATGTTTAACGGTTTAAACAAAACTACTAACTATTATTCCAAAACCGTTATACTAAACGGGTCCTAAGATATAATATATGATGTTAATAACATTAATTAAAATTATGTTTAGTATGGTTATAGTTTTAAATTTTTAGTTTTGATTTTCAAAATTCAAATAATCAAAATTAAAATTACAAACTTATTAGATTTAAAATTTTAAAATAAACACCTAAAACTTCAAATTTAATTAATTTATAGAATTGCCTAATTTTATTCTAGAGTTTCAAAATTTTTAAAAATCAAAATAAAAAATTTAAAACTATAATCATACTAAACAGAGTATAAATTACGCAACACTAACATGTGGGTTTGTATCAAATAATTTTTATCCCCATGATCAAACCTGAAAATATTCATATGTCATCAAGACAGCCATATCCTTCCAAAGTAGACGAAGAAATCAACTCTGGACTGCATACGTTGATCTTTCTCTGCAAAGGGAAAAAGTTTCAACATCAACGTTGCTACTTTCTACAATTTTTTTTTTTTAAAATCACCTAATGTCGTTTTCTTTCTCCTAATTAATTTCTATTCTCAATTAATTTTTAATTTTAATTCTAGATGCCACTTTTTTGAAAGTTAATCTTTTCACTGAAAAATTGGAGGATTCTAGTCGTTGCCCCGATCATGGCATATGAAAAACTTCATTTTTCCAATGAAAAAAAAAAAAAAACCTTTTATCACCATTCTGTAACTTTTTTTGGTTGTATATTCTCAATGAATTTATCGTGTTTGATTTTCAAAAATAAAAAATTACTCTGTCGATTTTAACACGGGTTCTTAAGATGCTACAGTCTATATCATCATAAAAATACAAATTAATACGAGTTGGTGATAAAGGTTTTTTAATTTTTAAGCAATAAAGAAGGAATATATTATTAAGGAAAAGTACCCATTCCCTTAACTTATAAAAATTAAAAAGAAAGTTATTTGAAAACTATATTGATTTAGTAAATTTTTGTTAAAAAAAATTAAAATATCTTATTTTAGTAGCATGAAATTAAACTATTTTTAATCTTTTTGTATGATACTTTATTAAAATGATATAATTTTAAAATAATTTTTTTAAATTTTTAAAAAATAAGATAAGTATATATTATTAAGGAAAAATACCCATTCCCTTAACTTATAAAAATTAAGAAGAAAGTTATTTGAAAACTATATTGATTTAGTAAATCTTTGTTAA